GGAATTTAAGGTGAAATGCTCCCAACCCTACGCTCTAGTGACATCTGGTCCCAGATGCTGCTTTGGGCTCCTTCCTTCCAGGAATTGGCAAGGACACAGTAGCTGCTGCTGCCAGCAATCGTGACGAGGCTGGAGAGGTGTCGTATAAATAGGCTGGGGCTACCCAGTGGCTCCGCCTCCCCCCTGGATCTGGTCCCACATCTTTCCTTTCTTCACTCTCACAGTGAGCCTGCTCTCAAGAGCTCTGCTGGATTCCAGCTGCTCCCTAACTGTGTGACCTTGGGCAAGCAACTCAACCTCTCTGGTCTCACTGGTTTCCTAGAACAAGATTGCCTGCCTTTGGGGTGGTTGTGAGGGTTAGAACATAAAGGACATCTAGCACCATGCCCGACATGCTGTGTGACAGTTACTGGTTGTGATGCGGAGATGGCGTGAGCAGTAACAGCAGGAATTTCGTCTCTGCCCTCAAAGGGGCACTGTTTGGCTCACAGCCGCATGGGCTCAATCCCCCCGGACCAGCTGGACAGCTCCAGAAGCCTCTGCAAGCTGAGGAGACTCGGGTTCTGGCACCAGAATGCTGGGTGATGCTGGGAGACTCACTTGCCTTCTCTGGTGTCACCTCCCCATCTACAGCCTCTTGGGCACTGGTCTCCTCTGAGTTCAGTTGTCTTTCAGTGGGGCGCCACCTCTCAGGAAGCTGCCTGGGCTTCCAAGGTGGACAGTCTAAGATACAGAACTGAGACATTCGGACCCAACCTCAGTCCCATCATGGCTCAGAAGTCCTGGGTACCCAGCCCAGGGTACCGGCTCAGGCCATTCGGAGACGTGTTTGCGACAAAGCTAACTGAATCCCTCAGGAAGAGAAATTGACATTCTTTGAAAACAATCACATAGGTAGGTCTGTTTTTTTTTTTTTTTTTGGTTTATTTGGTTTTTGAGACAGAGTCTCATTACATCCTCCAGACTAGCCTTGAATTTCCTAGTCTCCCTGACACCGGGATTATGGCATGCACTACTATGCTATCCATAAGTGATTTTCTTGACAAAACATATTAAATAGGCAAGAAAGAAATAACCACAACAATGCAGAATCCTGGGCAAAATGGAGCCTTTTGTTTCATTCAAATCAAAACTCGGTCCTGCCTCATGTGATGGTGCGCACCTTTAATCCCAGCACTCGGGAGACAGGGACAGGAGGAACTTTGTGAGTTCGAGGTCAGCCTGGTCTGCAGAGTGAGTTCCAGGACAGCCAGAGATACACAGAGGAAACCCTGTCATGAAAAACTAAACAAGCTAACAAAAATTCTGTCTCAACTTGGACTCTTCGGACTGTGTGGGCTCAGACTAGTCTCTTTATTTCCTGGAGCACTGTTTTCCCATGAATTCCTTGAGAGTAACAGCCCCCATGCCACGAGAAGATCTCGAAGCTTACAGACGATTGCCTGTGCAGTGTATTTAGTGTCTGGCGCACAGCGGGCATCCAACTACTGGCAACTGTCATTGGAGATACTATCATTGCCAGCCTCTCACTGTAAGCAGGGGACCCGAGGCCATCAGCTTCACACGGCCCTTCCCGAAGAGCTGGTGACTAACCCACAGGAACACACTAACTGCCATTCATCTCTGGCAATTTCCAGCCAGGGCAGCTCAAGAAGGTGGTCCTGTGGTCTCCTAATGTGAGGAGCAAGCTCTCTGGTTCTGCTGGCTTCCCTGGACTGGTCCCTGCAACATCCCTGCCTCTGGCCTTTGTTGAGCAGCTGGAACGCGTGCTGCACGGTCTGCCCGTGAAATGCGGCTCATGGAAAACATGCATATTTGTGACTGGGTGCGTGTTTCTATTTCGGGCTGACACTGCTCTCTTTATTTATTTTCCCCGGGATATTGGTGCTTTGGAATCCAGCTTTGTAGGGCGTTTTGACAGACTTTGAAGGCTCTCCCACTCCCTGGGCAGAAACAGGCTCCAGTGGGAGGAGGGTGGGCAGGGACAGAGAGGGTTTCAAATGACAGGCCCCCTCCCTTGGCTAGGACAAGGGACAGTGACTCTCACTGCCCACACCTGAGCATTCAGGAAAAGGAACACAGAGGTGTACAGATGAGGAAATAATTCCAAAGAGGGGAAAAGGGGGCTGGAGAACTAATCACCAAGCTTCCAATTAAACTCCACAACATCACCATGGCCATCATTTTGGGGTGCTTGTATTTAAAAACAATGGTAGATTGGTGATTCCCTTAGGGAGCCCACCCTGTCCCTTGGCACCATACTGTGCAGCCCCCAAATCAAGAGGTTTTGAGAAACTGCTTAGCCAAACAGTGCTGAGGCCTGCCATTCCTCCCTGCACAGATCTGACTGCCCACGAGCAGGCTGCTTGGTTGAGTCCTAGAGACTTGAGGCTGACACTTGAGATAACACTGACAGGTGAGGTACCTTGGCCAGTCCCTTCTGTGAGGCCGTGTGTCTGGGGACAAGGATCTTCAACCCAGCCGCCCCATCTGCCTTTGAATTGCCAGGTGTGGTAGGTAGTCAGGGAAGTCTTTCTTACCATAAAAAAGGGCTTGAACCTTCATGGCTTGACACAGTGGACAGCCATATCAGTGCCTGCCTCCATGGTGACTAGACCCAATCAGTGAGACCCTAAGAAAATTGCTTGGCATCTCTGGTCCTCACCAACTGGGCATCCCTTGCAGGGTAGCTGGGGCAGTAGTGAGGATTTCTGAGGAAGTTGCGAGGCACTGTAACCTCTGGGAGCTGCAACCATGATTTTCAATCCCAAGTCCAGCCACTCACGAGAGAGTCGGTGTTCTTCATAATCAAGTCCAAAAAGGGATCCCGTGGGCAGTGGTGCCCTTTTATAACAGAAATGCTGGAGCTGAGACTAGGGTGGGAGTCTGTCCAGGGAGCTCTGGGTACCTGTGACAGGTTGAGACCAAGATCTAGGTATCTCCATTTCTGGCTCATTTCTCCCTCTATACCAGGATTTTCTCAAGCTTTTTCTGAATTTTAAGGACAAGAGAACGAGACTGTCAAAGGACAAGCCGGGGCATGGGTACAGATCCTTCAAAATGCCAATTCTCCAGGAGGACTAAGGCTTTCTGTGGCCCCAGAACTAACTCACTCTCCAGGTTCTGGTGCCCCCTCAAGACACTTTTTGAGGCTTCTGGCCCTGGAAAAATTTCAAAGATTGGCAGTAAGCACTGCTAAGGCTATTGGACAGAGAGGATATATATATATATATATATATATATATATATATATATATCCGAAGAGGCAGGAAGGGGTGAATGGAAACTGTAGCTGAGGAAGCCATCCAAAGTCAGTGCCCCAAAGGCCAGCACTGCCAGCACGGGTATCAGAGTGCAGACTGGGTCAGACGCAAGCAAAGGAAACTCAGAAAAGGAATGGAGCCAGCCTGGAGGGATGATGGACAGGAAAGACCAAAGGGTGTGCATTTGAAAGATAACCCTGGGAAGGAGCAGAGCAGTGAACAAAGACAGCACAAGCAAGGACTGCAGACCCTGGAGGGAGAAGATATGCCAGGAAGAGGCTTGAGTAGGCATGGGGGTGGAGAGTACGAAATGGACACTGAGCTTCAAACCAAGACAGTGAGGCGCCTGCCTGCCTGGCTGGGCTGCTGCCCGGAGCTTCCTTTGAGCCTAACAGCTGCTTCGCTCCTTCTGGCAGACACTCTGATTCCGGGGAGGTCTGCAGTAGAAGGAAAAAGGGAATGTTTGAGCCTGTGTGTTTGTGTGTACACACGCCAGTCTCTGTGCCCCACAGCCTGAGACCCTGTGTGTCCTTAGGTGTCAGCAGGAGTCCTATGCAGTGGTCTCCGGAGTCTGGGGTTTTAAAGCATCCTCCAGAGAGAGCGTGGGGTGGGATGCACGCTGGTCCACAAACTGGGGCTTGTGGAAAGATTAGGCTTGTCCACGTGGGTGTGAATCCTAGGTCTGTATTGCGTTGCGTGTGCCTATGAGCCACGAAGGGAGTATGTTTACCAGGATGGAGTGTGAATTTGTGCATAGAGTGTTGGCGAATGATCTATGGATAGTGTATGTGTGCATGTGCGCGTGCTTAATGCGTGCATGGGAAGCATGGGGCTGTAGACTCCGGTGCGCTGTCCGCGGTACTGACTGAGGGTGTGGACAGGCCAGGACCCTCACTCAGATTCAGGAAGCACCGCTGTTAGCTGGCATCCTCCATGGAGCAGACAGAGGTCCTGCAGAGGAAACCTCCAAGGAGACATCTCCCCCGGGAGTTGGGAAAAGTTCTCCCAGCGGCAGGATTGGCTCTCGGGACTCTCCGTCACTTAGGCTGGGAATCTTCCCCTGACTCTGGGCTCCATGGCTGCTCAGATACCCACCCCATCATAGCCCTCACAGACGTTCTGAGCCGAGCCAGGGACCCTCTAGAGCTAGGCTTCTACTGCCTGCCGGAGCCTCAAAGGTTCCTTCACGCAGCGGCACCTGCAGCGGGTTAACCGCGCCCCAGGACTCGAAGAACGTCCCGCTGAGCGCGTGAGTGCTCTCAAGTAGGGGGCAGCTGTTGAGGCCATCATTCACCTTTTCCTGTCCCCTCCCTCCCCTGAAGCCCGGCGAACAGAGGATGGGGGTAGCTGACGCTCAACTTTTATGGACCCAGAAAGACACCCACTGGGACAAGCAGGGATAGGGGGGTCGGAATCCAGGCTGACTCTGGACGTTAAACTCGTTCCGGCAGACCGAAGCTGCAGCGGCTCCCTAGCGCCTTGATGTGAGGCTGGGATCCGACCTCGGAAGTGCGGGGAAAAGCTATGAGATCTGAACTCTGTCCTCATCAGCCAGCTTTCCTGGGACGCCGAGGCCCTCACCCAGGGTGGCCCGAGAGCGGGAGAACTTTCCGCACTCCTCTCCCATCCCCTCCAACCCCCCGCGCAGGCCCGGGCACGTGTGGCGCGTTATCCCCTTCCCCTCCTCTGAGCAGCGCATCCCCAGCCCCGATGGCGACCAACGGCCGTCCCACTCACCTCGCTGGCCGAGCTGAGCTAGGGTGAAACACAGGTGCGGTGGGGAACTGGGGGCTTCGGCCACCCCGCCGAGATTTGTCCCTTGTGGGGAGTCTCAGGGAGGAAGGTCCTCGGAGCTGCAGGAGCCTCGCGTTCCCCCAGCTCCTCTCCCGGGCGTGCAGACCGCGGGCAGGTCAGTGACAGCTGCGTCCCCAGCGCGCACCCGGAGCACTCGCCGCCTTTTATCTGCCGCCCGCCTTTGTTTGGGTCCCGGTTCCTACCACGGGGTGCGGGGGGGTGTCCCGAGCAGGTTCTGGAGTCACGCCGCGCCACGGCCACTGGCGCCTCCAGCCTCAGCGCCTGCGGACTCTGCGTCACCGTCCTGGCGAGGGCTTGCGCTCCGCCGTGCGCTGCTGTCCCCCGATCCCGCCGCCAGGCGCCGCCCTGGCTGTCGCTCCCCCTGCGGGAATCGCGCGGTGGTACAGCCAGGCTCCCCGTGCTGGCGAGCAGAGGCTACGCATAGCGCAGCGACCCCTGGGGGTCAATCCCAGACTCTGCAAACGGTCCTGGCCATGCCCCCTACCGGCCCCCGAGGTTTCCGGGTGCCCAGGTCTCTCCCAGGCGTGCGCTCCTGCTGGCGGCTCTCAGCGACATCTGCCCATCTTTGGCATCTCACCAACCCGCTGGACACTCGAGGGCATCCCGGGTTCACCCCGGAGGTGGCTGCCAAGCCCAGGCTCCTGGCACCATCCCTTCCTCCCTCCTCTATTCACCTCTCTGGCAGCAGAGCCCAGAGCCCTGCCAGCCCCTGGGACCAGGCACTCGTCCAGTCAGCACAAGGTCTGCCTGCCACCTCCTGCAGAATGGGTGTCCTAAGAGGAAGGAGCCCAGGAATCAAGACCACCCCCCGCCCCCTGCAGCCGCTCCGGGCCTCATTTCTCTCTTTCAGGGCTCCGAAGGCATTGGCCTTGATGTCACTCAAGGAGAGGTAAGCGAGCCCTCAAAGGGACCTGGTTCCAGTCTCATGCTGCAGGAGGGATGCCACTCAGGTGATTATAATGTAAAATCATAATGTAAACTGCTGGAGAACCAAGAAGATAGAGAAATAAGTGAGCTGAAATCTCTACCTTCAGGAAGTCTCCTTTTATAGAGGAGAATGCAGGAGCGTTATGACATAAAACTATTGAAAGCCCCACACCTGGCTCTACGCACCGTAGCCCGTGCCCCCATCTGTAATTTTGAAAGAGGAAACCTAGGGGCCTGGGCAATGGCTTAACGGGTGCTTGCTGCCAAACCTGACAACTGAGTTGGATCACCAGGGCAAACCCACTCCGTGAGCTGTCCTCTGAGCTCCACTCACGCACAGTGGTACACATGTGCATCCCCTTTAAACACACAACAAACAAACAAAATTTCAATTAAAATGGAGACAACCTGGGAGTTCTCTGAACCCCCCTATCTTTGGGGTTCTACAGTGAAGCCCATTGTCACTCACCTGCATCACCTGCTCAGCTTTCTTAGACAGAGTCCCAGGGGACTGCACTCACTGACTGGCTGCCAGGTGGAGGTATGCGCACTTATGATCCTGGGTGCCCCAGAGCTCATCTGCATGGAAGCAAATGACCAGAGCTAATTTTCCTGCCCTGGTATTTGCCCCCCCCCAATATGTTTGGGAAGGAATTTTAGAGGACCCACTGGCCAGCCACCAAATCTGTCAGAAGATCTGTAGTGAATTCATGCCACCCTGAAGACGTTAGGGTTAGGGTCTGTGCCTGGCAGGAAGGATGCCGAGAAAGAGAGAGAGAGAACTAAGGCCTAAAATGGAAGGTGTGTGTATTCCGCCACAAATGCAGAGGCCAAATGTGATTCTCCAGACAGAGCAGCCCAGCAGTGCCTTGCAAACGTCCATCCGTCCATCCGCTCCACCTAATACATCCCAGAGGGAGGCATAGAAAGAGGAGCCATGGGGGGAGAGTGGGAGGAAGGAGAACCAAGGAAATTCTTGTTTCTAAGGGAGTAATGGGAGACACAAAGTGTGTTCCCAAGCCCAGCTGAGAGCAGAGGCTTGCTCTTCTGGGTGAATAGCTGCATTCTTTTCTGCTTGTTTTTAAGACTTCTTGCTTCTAAGAGCCCCCTTAAAGTTCTCCAGAGGCCCTGAGCTTTTTCCTGTAGTCTGGCAGAATCACAGGACACCCCAGTTTTGCCCCCAGGGTGCTGTGCCTCCCACTAACCCACACTGTGGATATGACCCCCATTCCCAGGAACTAGATTTGCTAAGAGCCCCGATGTCATCCTCCCTACTCTCATTAAAGTCCTTTCTCCCCTTTCCAGAGCTCCGGGTAATCTCCAGAGGGCCAGGGCTCGCTCTGCCTTTCATAAGGGACCCTCTTCAAAGGGAAAGTACAGAGGCAGGGGACCTGACCATTGTCGCTCTCCCCACCCCACCCCTCTCTCTCTTATGTGTGTGTGTGTTTTGTAAGGGTGATACCGAGAAATCCTGAAAGGATATGATTTGCCCAGGCCATCAGCAGGGTTTTAAAAATGCAAATGGAATCAGGCCTTTGAAATATGTCCGCTGTAAGGGAGAGCCTGTGGTGGCAGCAGAAAAGCCGCAAGTGTGGAAAGCTGAGCGAATCCTGCTCAGGGGCTGTTGCCTTCCCTCTCTCCCTGGCTGTCCCCGTTCTCAGGCACCTCTCTGAATCCCACCCTTTACCTCCAGGATCTCCCCAGAGATGACTGCAGTGGTCTCATGATGGGCCCAGCTCCGAGCCAGCGGAGATTGCCATTCCCCATGGTCCCCTCGGTCTCCGAATTCCAGTGCCTTCTGCCGGAAGTGTTTCCTGGGTCTGATATAAATTCCTCGTCGTGCCCAGGAGCTGCTTCCCTTGTTCTTGTCTTCCCAACTAATTGAAAAGCCTTCTCTTGAAAGGGATGGGAGCCATAAAGAGCCACTTTGTCCTTGGTTGCCATTCCTCTACTGCCCCTTCTGTCTGGTCTCCAGCTATGCAAAAGCAGGGCCTCCAGTCCAGCTTTCTCTGGAGATCTGTTTTCCTGTTCCACTCCCTACCAACTGCTGTGTGACCTTGAGAAAGTTACTTCACCTTGCTGAGGTCTCACCTCCCCCCCCCCTCCATTTATAGAATGGAGACGATGAAAGTACCTGGGCCGTGGCAATGGCTATCAAGGCTTTCCAAATAAGAGCATCCCTATGAAAAGCTGCATTTGACACATCTGCACGGCATAGATTAAGATGTAGGTAAGTGTCAGAGCCGTCTACATACTCCTTGAGCCAGGACGCCAGTTCCTCCTATTTCTTTGCTTCACCGGTGAGGAAGAGTGTGCTCAAATCATGTTATTTCACCAGATGGCTGAGCAGCTCAGGGTTAAGCATATAGGGAGGGTTGGGAGTGTTTATTTTAAAAAATATGGTATATTAAGACACTGTCCCAGCATGGTGGAAGGGGATAAATACTTTTTGAAATAGTTCCCTTTTTAATCTACTAACACTCTGACTTTGGGAAAAGTTGGGGTTGAAGGTGTGTGTGTGTGTGTGTGTTGTAGTAACCATGTGAGCTTGGGTGAGCTGACACTTAGTTTACCCATCTGCAAAATGGGATTAAGGAGGACCTGCACTGCTCCTACACTTGCAGTGAGTTTTATCGCCTCTGCGGGCTGTTCAATCGTCACTTATATAGAGTTTAATCCAATGGAGTCAGAAAGATAAAAGATGGGATGATTGGTTGTGTTTCAGCAACTGTTAGGTTGGTGAGGAAAGAGCTTGGTAAGCTTGCCCAGGTTCTCTTTGAGGAAATCGTCCTCTTGAGCTCACACAAGGTCGTAGGTGAACTGGAGTTGAAGTCCAGGCCTTCCAGGGTCCAGGTCTGCACTTCCTCTGAAGTACTGTCTTTCCTCCCCCCAGCCCCCTCTTCCCTAAAGGTCCATTTAGGAGTCTGAGTTTACAGAACTCTCGTAAGGAGAGAATAGATGAACTGATCATTTAGGAGAAGAAAGAGGTTTGGGGAAAGCGACAGTGCCAACCCCAGCTGGGTTGCTCTGAACAGGCTGGTTTGGGGGGGTTGGCAGATGGGTAGCACCCTTCTTTCTCCCCCAGCATTCTGCAAGCAGCCAGGTCTAGCATTCCTTTCCCAGCCTCACCGGCCTCCTCCAAGGAAGCAGGCAGCCTGCGCCAGAGTGAATACAATCCAAGTTATTAATTGCCTGCAACAATTAGCCCAGTGCCTGGGCCTGCAGACGCCTAGGCTCTGAAAAAGGGAGCCAATTACAGCTTCATCAATATTCACGCTGCTGCATAATCTTCTCCTGACATGAGGCCCCCAGCTCCCCACCCTTGTTTCTAGAGGCCTTTGCTCTAACCCACGGCATCTTCAGAAGACCCAATATTGCTGAAGCCTTTGAGAGGAAATGTCACTTGGGGCCAGACCCAGAGGGATGTTTCGTGTAGTGGAGTTGTACCACTGGGAGAAAAGACAAGGACTGTGCCAAAGACCTAAAGGAGTGGCTCCAGCCAGTATGGTCGTATTGTGGGGGAAGCATTGGTGTCTCCAGGTTGTGGATATCAGTAGATTCCTTGCTGCTCTTGCTGCTAGAATGGCTCAGAAAGGGGAGGTAAAACTTCTGGGGCTTTTCGTCATGTGTGTTTATGTGTCTGTGATGTGTTTGTGCGTTGTGCGGGCCATAAGTCCACATCGGGGTCCTCCTCTATTGCTCTGTATCTTATTTTCTGAGACACGCTCTCTTACTGCACCTGATGCTCACTGATTCTGCTAGACTGGCTGGCCAGCAAGCTCCCGGGATCCTCCTGTCTCTTCTCCAGTGCTGGGATTGCAGGCATGTGCTCCTGGTTCAGTCCGGGGGTCTCTGAACTCAAGTCCTCAGGTTTGCACAGCAAGCGCTTTGCTGACTGAGACATCTCCCCAGACCAAGCTCTAGTCTTAATTCCAGTTCTGTCACACACATGCTTCATGGCCTGCTAAAAGTTCACTTCTCATCTCTGGGCTGATGTCCTTACCTGCTCCCTTCCTCATGCGGGAAGGAAGATTTCAGAAGGGGCTAAGCAGAGCCCACAGTGAAGGGTACACAATGAGTTGGAAAGAAAGACAGTGTTTCTGTTCTGTCTAGGAAAAAAAAAAGATCTAAGAGGAGAGACCATGACCCCCAGGGAAGGGTGGAGCTATGGGGATAGGACAGATAGGCAGCTAGAAGCACTGGATGCTGGCCCCAGATTTGCTGTAACTCACTCCTTGGCCTCAGCATCCTTTTGTACCTGGTCTCTTGCTCCTACTTGCCAAGTGAGGACACCAAAATAGATGTGCACAGAGGTGCCCTGGTGGAATCTCCCAGGAAAGTGTGGGAGGCACAACGAATGTGCAATGGGTCCACAGCGTCAGAGGAACAGGAAAGCCCTGTTCAAAGGGCAAACGGCAGGGGCAGTTCCGTGAAATGGCCCAGAGAACACAAGATGGGACACACCGCTCTCACGGCCAAAACTGTGCACTTG